GGCCCTGCTGAGGACAGGATGTGGTAAGACATCAAATGGCACATTGAAGGGCAAGGCAAAGATTTCCACCCAAATTAGCCTTTCAGCCAAAAAAAAAAAGGGCTTCCTGTGAAATGGACTGGCCAGAGCTTCTAGTGAAAGGTTCCTACTTTCTGTAGAAACATTTGCATTCAAATCATCAAAGCCTGAAGTATCTTCTGCTAATCCTGAAATATTGTACTTGAGTGAGGCTTACACTGAAATTTCAGACATACTCAAATTTAGCCTGAAAAATACGTGAATAAGGCCTTGTTTTTCACCTGCTCCAAGTAAGGCACTGGTGGTACCAACATTCCTTTGTGGCTGTGACTACAATTTGATCTCAGACAAGTCTGTTTTCCTCTCTCTGCATCTGTAGAACATGAGCCTAAAGATCATTGAGATTTTGCAAAGAAAAGCTGAGTACAGAGCCCGTTGTTACTGTAAAATAGTAACATCAGCAGGATGTTATTTATGTCTTTTTCAGCAGTGGAATGGACGTTCCCATTTTCTGCCATGATCCCTGTGTTTGTCCTCCCCATCTTTCTGACAAGTGCCTTCATCACCTGCTTGCTGACACAAGATGTTAAGGGAAAGAAGATGCCTCATGCTCTGGTATGGCCCAACTGCCAGGTCCCCTCCTGACTCCAGGTCTTGCTGATTGTCAGAGGGTAACTGGGAGTTCTGCACTTCCCAGTTTGTGTCCATTAGTCCCATTGTAAGTAAGCTTTCCTCTATCCAAACTTTTCTTTAAAAGGCATCACTAACTCACTCTGTGTGTCTTGTGTCTTTTCCCTGGTAGGATTTATCTCAGTCAAAAGCTGCTGGAGCAGCCTTCCACTGTGAGCTCAGTAAAGAGGAATTCTTCAGGGACTGTCTCATCTGCACCGAGAAGCCAGTATCACAAAGGAAGACAGAGAAAGCTTTAGCAAGAAACAATCTACCATGGGTGGCTTCTTTCCTATCATCATCATCATCATCATCATCATCATCATCATTGGAGAAAGAGGAGGAGGAAGAAGACAGCAGTATGTTCACCCCATACACTGAAATGCAGTTTCCAAACAGGTATCTCAACTGTCAAGCATCTCAGGCGGAATCCAGCTTGGACTCTGGATCTAGAGGCCTCTCCATGGAGAGTGAATCTCTGCTTGACCTAAGAGCCTTGGGTTTCTCTTTCTTTCCAATGAGAAAGAATGAGGTGGACACTTCAGAATCCCAAGGGAATGAGAGGGCATCCCTTTCTCACAGTTCCTCTTTGGGAAGAATATCACTCACTGATGTGAGATTCCCAGATCCCAGGGAACAGAGACAGCAGGATACAGCCAGGGATGAATGCCTGGGAATGGCGCCTTTGCAACCACTGATGAAGGGCACTTGTTTCAGGCTCCCAGCCGGGGAGCACTGCCTGCACAGGCAGGGTTATCATTCCCCCAGGTGTTACCAGCAACCAGCAGCTGATCTACAGGCCCAGCTCAGGGATATCTCCTGGCTCAGTGTGGATCCCAGCACGGAGCTGCTCATTTCCTTCCAGACATTACAGGTGGCAGAAGACGAAGGCATTGCAAGTGACTGTGACAGCAAGTGTTTTATGGAAGGGACACCCCCCACACCCACGGTGCTCAGTGATGCATTTGAAACTTCAAATATGGAGGAAAAATATGATCACAAGTTTAAGTTCAAAGGTTCCCATTATATGGGAAGGAGCTAGAGTGTCCCAGCAGCTCTGCGGTGAGGCAGGCAAATGCTGGAGAGCTCCAGGTATCCAGGCAGGGATACCCAAACCAGAGCAAGGACAGACAGAGGTGTTTTCTGTATTTATTCACCCAGAGTTTCTACTGATGTCTGGCCTATCGAGGCATATGGCTTTAGGGAGACAAAAAGGTTCTTTTTGGTGGTAAGTAACGAGTGATGTTCACCATTCCTCTGTACCACCCAGCTGTGGTAAGGGGTGCTGGCTCTGGTGAACCCACCAGCAGTGCAGCACGCAGTGACACCTCCCCAGGGTACTCTCTGTTTCAAGAGAGTGAAGTCACAGTGAGAGCATGTGTGTGTGTTTATTTATTTGGGGTTTATACCACTACACTTTGTGAAGGTGGAATTCCCCTGCGGTGCAGAACCTGAGAGCTGCTTGATGCAGAGGCAATAACATTTTGATATAAAACTCCATGTGTGTGTGGTTTTCTGTTTCCCAGAACTACAGAGGGTGAGGGCAGCTCACCCTGAAAAACATTTCATTTTAAATCAGGACCCCATTGTGGGCTTTCTAATGGAAGTAGAATCCCAGGAACTCTGGGTCACTGGAAGCCCAGGACTGTGACCAGTTCTCTGAGCAAAGAATCTGATCATAAGTTCACCAGCAAAAGGCACAGGGGAGGCCTTGCCTCCCCTGCACGAGCAACACCAACCTTTTCAGTGTTTCAGTTCGTTCCAGTAAAAGGACAGGCAGAAAAGCAAAGGGTTAAAAGTAAGAGGGAGACACACAACAGCCATTCTCTGTATTCAGAGTTGGAGTTCTGGTGTCCTCTATGTAAAAGACATGGAGCTGTTGGAGCAAGTCCAGAGGAGGCCACGAGGATGATCAGGGGCTGGAGCACCTCCCGTATGGAGACAGGCTGAGAACATTGGGGCTGTTCAGCCTGGAGAAGAGAAGCTGCTGGAGACCTCAGAGCAGCTTCCAGGGTCTAAAGGGGGCTACAAGGATGCTGGGGAGGGACCTTCATCAGGGGCTGGAGTGACAGAACAAGGGGTGATGGGTTCAAACTGAAACAGGGGAAGTTCAGGTTGGATACAAGGAAGAAGTTCTTCCCTGTGAGGGTGCTGAGGCACTGGAATGGGTTGCCCAAGGAAGTTGTGAATGCTCCATCCCTGGCAGTGTTCAAGGCCAGGCTGGACAGAGCCTTGAGTGACATGGTTTAGTGTGAGGTGTCGGAACTAGATGATCTTAAGGTTCTTTCCAACCCAAACTATTCCATGATTCTATGAGGGAAGGGTGTTGAGGGTGGGTATTGAAGCTGACATCCTCAGGGAATCCAGAGAACAATGTTAGAGAGAGGCAGGGGTGGTAGGAGTGGTTGGGAAGGGAGATGGACAAATGAAGGTCCTGAAGTAAAGTAAAAAGGGGAGGTGGGAGAAAAGATTCATCAACTAGAATTTTGCTTTTCTTTCTTATCTGTCCGCCACAAAGTGTCCTGGTTACATCCTGCACTGTAATCCCTCCAGCTCCTTTAGAAAGATACAGATCATCCTAATACAGTCACCACCCATCTTCTTGTGCAATCAAGAAAAAACCTCCAGGCTTTGAATTACAGGAAGCTCTGAAGTTGTGTAACCTCTACAGAATTATTTTGGCATGTCACAGCTCTGCTAACAGGGCCTGGGATCAGCTCTTTGTCTTGTACCAAAAGATTTGGAAAGGTGGATCCTGGGCTATTTGAATGGTAAGTAGAGAAGTAAAGGCAGAAATAAAGTTGTAAGTTATAGTCTTAAAACAAGACTCAGGTGCACTGCATCTCTGCCCTCTCCTGGGTCATCACACAGCAGAAGCATGAGGCAGTGGCATGAGGGAAGGAAAGAATGGAACTCCTTTAGCAGTGGGAACATCCTGACAAAGCCTTGTTCCTAAGGAGATGTTGGCCATGCTGGTGGGGAGGTGTGTCCTGTTTAATAAACCTGTGAGGCTTCTGCATTTGTCCAAGTGAGAGGAGAAAGGCAAACGGACAGCTCTGCACCAGTGGCATGGCCGGTAGAGAGCGGGCCCGG